CAAGCGGGCCCTTCCCCCACGGGCAGGGGATTAAAAAGGGGGAATCCCATTCCACCTGTGGGACCTTGGAGGGGGGTCCCCAGTCCATGGAAACTTGGTGTCCCCCAAGTCCAGCCTCTCCCTCGGCCCATACAAGCTCTCTTTGACTCCCTTGGTGTTACCCTTGGTGGAAATCTCTTAGCCCCCAACTCAGACCCTCCCCTCTTCCCTGGGCCTCCTCCACTTCCAGAATCAATGCCGCCCGCCCAGCCACCTCTTCCAGGAAGCTATCTGGGGCTCCTCCCCAACCAGGGAGGCTTCCTCTGCCTTGCCCTCTCCGGGGAAGGGAGCAGGCATGGAATTCTAGAAGATTCTAGACAGATAACACTTTGGAGACCTCCTTTCCTTGGGGGAGACCAAAGTCAGCCCCAGGGGAGCAAATCTGTTGCCTATTAACCTGGGATGGGGGGTGGGGGGCAGAGCTGGACCCTGCCCTGGGCCAGAAAGCTAGCCTGGTGGGGGGTGGGGGCTGAAGAGAACTCTGCTTCCTCCCACCAGCCACACCTGGCTGCTTTTCCCCTGGTGCTGGCCCCTGCCCAGGGAATTGTCCCTGATACCCTGTGTTGGACCCTCTGGCCCCTCTCCAGCCTCCTCAGACCTCCCTCTTGGAATCTTTCCACCCCAGCCAGCCCCACTACCTCCCTCCCAACCTCACCCACACTGTCCAGCACCGATTGTGTCTTGTCTTCCCAGGGAGAGGCCTGGTTGGCTATGTCCACCCTCTCTCTGCACCGCCACCCACACCGCCACCCACTGCCTGGTCCCCAGCAGGTGCTCATTCTGTGCTCCAGGGGTCCTTCAGTCACTTAGGGTCTTGCCAGCCCCCGACGAGCCCCACCCACCACACGCTACATCCTTACTGGGGGATGGGGGTTCTGTTTGCCCCCAGGTCCCCTAACCTCAGCTGCCTCCTGTCACAGGGCTGCGTGGCCACCTGCCTGGGGCTCCCCTCCTTGGAACAGACACAGCCTCAGGAGAGCATGCCGAGCTACAGCAGAGCCTGGCTTCCATGTTAGAGGGCTTTCCCCAAATCACAATGGAAAGGAAAGGAAAAAACCTCAAAGAGCAAAATGAAAACAAACATCTGAGAGCAGCCTTCCGGAGCCCCCTTCTCGGCTGCTGGCAGAATCGGCAGGGCAACCAGCCCAGCGGATGGCAGAAACGCAGAACCACTTCCTACCTGTCCTGCCCGCCGTGGCATGACACCAGAGCGGGATGGGGTTTGGCCACAGGTGAGGGCCAACCCAGAGCGCACCATGTTCGGAATTAGAAAAAGGCCCCAGACGGTCTGGGGGGCACGTCCCTCCCCCTTCTCGTCTTCCTGGGAGTCCCTCCCGGCCCCCCACTGTGGGTAGCTCTGACCACCACTAGTTCTGCAGCCCACAGACAGCTGGCCTGCCCCTTCAGGGTCCAGCATCTTTGTCAAGCTGAGTTCCGGTTAGCTCCTCCCTGGTCTCACCCCTCCGCTTCCAGAGCCTCCACCAGCCTCCACCCTTCTGGGCTCCGCCCCATGGCTCCTCAGCCTGGTCTTCAGGCTCGGCAGTGTCTGTCTGGCCCAAGTGCACAAACCTGAAAGCTTGCCGTCCCCCCATTTGGAGGCCCTGCAGCAGAGCCGTTGTACCTCCCAGTCTGTCCAGTGGGTGTGCTGCCTTTCTGCCAGCTAGGAAAACCCTGAAGTAGCCTTTGCAGAAAAGGCCCAAGATGGACCAGGCTGGGAAACCTCCCCCGCCCTGTAAGGAAGACCCCTTAGGGGCCCCTCTCTGAAACCCTGCCCCGGGCTGGGCTGGTCACTAGGGAGGGTCCTGGCCCTCTCTGAAAGAGCTAAATTCCTTAGGTTGATAGGGGAGCAAGTGGGGCCCAGACTCAGAAGAGGCACATATGATGTGTTTAAAGACCAGCTTCAGAATCTGAGATCCGGGAGGGTGGGCTCCCCCAGCTCCAGAGAACTGGCCTCTACCCTGGCCCGCCCCAGCCTGGAAGGGGCTGGGGCAAAGTTCCCACTCTGCAGAAGAGAAAAGTGAGGTTCATAGGAGAGTTCTACACCCAGGGTCTCACGGGGTCCAGACTCCTTTTCTGTCCCCCAGACACAACGGCAGGTGGCCTGGTGGGGGGGACCCATCCATTGGTGAGGCCACCTGCAATGTGGCCAGTGAACAAGCTAGTCTAGAAACCCAAGCCAGGATACTCAGGGGCCCTCAGGTCCCTTGGACACAGGAAGTGGCAAGACTGCCCCACCCAGCCCCACCCCACGCTGTTGCTCTTGTTTGGCAGCTCAGAGGGTCCCTGTCCAGTCGTGTGGCCCCATGTATGTCCTGCCCTCTCTGGTGCTCAGTGTGCCTGCATCACAGGGCCCCTGGTTAAAGCATCCAGGCCAGGCTGGGAAGAAGGCCGGCCGGCACCCAGGAAACGTGGCTGATGAAGGAACCAGGCCTGGTTTCTCCTCCATGCATGTGACCTGCACATCACTTCTCTTGAAATCCCTGTTTAAATCAAAGGCCCTGTCTTTTTTAAAGGAAGCAGTTGCATTTGTTACCAAGACTGGAAAAACCAGCTGTCCCCTGCCACAGATGCTAGGGTGAAAAATAAAAATTAAAAATACAATAGAAAGAAAAGCTTGTTATTAAGTCCAATTAGCACCAGAAACTATTGCCTTTTCACCGGAGGCAGGCAGCTCAGCCTCTCATTAACAGGAGAGATTGGCGCACGTGGAAAAAGGCGTGAAGGACCAGTTAGCACCCAGTGGAGACCTTCCCCTTCAGCGTTTGCAGGACAGAGGCTGAGCCCACCATCGATACCTTCCTCCCCGCTCCCAGGGAGGGACCAGGGCCTGGACTCCTGAGAATATTCCATGCCAGGGTGTTGTTATTTTACCCCCTGGGGCTGAGGTTCCAGCCCAGCTCGGCGCCCCCACCCACCCTAGCCTCAGCCCAAGTTGGCAGCATCTACTGTGTCCCGGCCCCCTCACTCAGTCCTCTTTTTCCCTCCTGAAATCCCCTTTCAAAGGAACAGTCCAGCATGGCTTCCATGAACCTCAGCCCCTCACCGGCTTTGATGGGCAAGGTGAGCCCATGGACAGGTGAAGAGGGGACTGCCTAGCCTGTAGGGGCTGTGGCCTCAGTGCCTGAAGTTTGCTTTGGCCTCGTGGAGATGGGCGGTGGACAGCCCTGACGGGTACCTCCCCCTGGTGAAGCCTGCATTTGCACCCAGAAAATCCTCAAGTGACGGGAGGGGGGTGGCGGGAAGAGTGCATTGGCAAATAGCTGACCTATCACCGAGTCCATGGGAGCTGAGCCCCTTCTCTGGGCTCTAGCAACTCCAGCGGCAAAGAAACAGAGGTGGGGCAGAGGCAGGAAAAGAAGGGATAACTGGAGGAGCCCCCACTCCTCTGCTGATGGGGCCAGAGTGCCCCCCCACACACCATGCACCCCTTCAGGACAGCCCTCCTGGGCCACACCTCCACACAGGCGGGCGGAGGCCCGGCAGCCCCTTGGGGCTGCAGGCAGATAAACAAGCTGGGAACGTGGGGCGGCAAGTCCAGACCCTGGCTCCCCTGAGCCCCTGGCGGGGCTCCCGGGGCGGGGTGGAGGGGGGGGGCAGGCAGCAAGTCTTTGTCTGGTTTTCAAAGGCAGAGGCCACGGCTGTCGCTGTGCCTGGGAGCGGGCGGCTCCCACCGCCAGGGGTGTGGCGGTGATGGCTGAATCCTTGGAGGGAGCTGTTGGCTTGGAAAATCCACCCAGTGGGAAGGGCAGCCCCACCCCACCCCAATCCCCTCCATGGCTGACCTGGGTGACGGCCTGACTGGCTTGGGTCAGGGCTGGTGGGGCAGCCCTGGACCCCCCTGGCTTGCAGCCGTTTGCTGGGACACACAGTGGGGCATCCAAGGCGCCCGTACATGTGATGTTTCCGCTCCTGAAGCCCACGCACCCCACCACCTCACGGTGCCCACCTGTGGGAGTGAGGGGTAAGGGCGAGGGGCGGGCCTGTACGACACAGACTAGGTATAACCCTTGGGCACCTGCCCCGTGCCTGGCCAGCTGCCAGGCTCCCTCACCTCACGGAGCAGGCTGCCGCCGGGGCTGGGCCGCGGGCTGCTGCCCTTTCTGCTACCTCGCATGTGTCCCTTCTCGGGAACCCTCTGTCCTGGAAGGGGTCAAACTTCCCCGCTGGAAGACGCAGGGTGGGGGGTGTCGGTACACCCATCCCCCCAGATACGGCAGGCCTGAAGAGATTCCCCCAGCGGTGCCAGGGACCACCTCCGGCGGCAGGGCCTGGCCTCAGCGGGGTCAGGACCCCATCGCAGCCTCC